AGCCGGCGGCGGCGGAGGAGCTGCCCGTGGGCGGCTTTTGGAGAGGAGACACGGTCCCGCTGTGCCTTCCCCCGCCGTAACGGGGCGGGGGGTGCCGTGTTGTTGCCTTTGCTGCTGGCTCTGGGAGCAGCTGCTCGGGGTGCGGTGTGCGTCCAAGCCTGGCAGAGTTTTGTAAGTTAATTTATGTGTAGGTGTGGCTATAAATAAAATTGCTGAATAGAATAATATAAGACTTATGTGAACATTTGTGAGTTATAACCTATATTAAAGGAGTAATCAGCCAAAATGTTGAATCGGTTTTTCTACGTCATGAATCTGTTGGGTGCTTTCAGTGTCAAGAAAAAGTACTTCATTTTATAGTTCTTAGTTTTCCTGTTAAGTTTTTCCCTTTGTGTTTGGGGAGCTGCAGCGGTTACTGCTTTGTCAGGGAGTGCTGCAAGTGCCTTTGTGAAATAAAGCGTGAGCCCTGAAAAGCTCAAGTAAAAAGCTGGCATTGAAATGTAACTGTTAAATAAATAAATGAGATGTAACTGTTGGTTTAGAACCAGTAGCACCATAATTCGTTTTTAAAGGGAAAAACATGGTTTGCAGAATTCTCAGGGGTTTACGTATAATCCACATGTTCACACTTTGGTTGAAAGTTTGACTTATTTGAAGACTGAGAATAGACTTGGGTATTAATAGTGCAGTGTGTGAATGCTTGCCAGTTGTACTTTGCTGTAGTAATTGGGGTTTTTAACTCATTCTCTTCAAAGCCAACATGTCTCGAGAGACCGGAGGTGAAGCGCAGCAGTCTCAAGGCGCCCAGCAGTCCCAGACTGGGACCAGTTCCTCTTCCAGTGGGTCCCAGGGGACCAGCCAGTCTTCCTCAAGCTCTGGGACCCTCAGTTCTTTGGACACCGTTCCCACTCAGGAGCTTCCCTCGATCCCTGAGGACCAGGAACCTGAAGAGCTTGTTCCTCAGCCCTGGGGTCGACTCTTTGCCCTTGGGAAGGGTTTCAGCAATTGCGGTACATGCGTGCTGTAGTGGCCCTCTTGGTCCATCTGTGGTACCTCAGCAGGGTTTTGAGCAGCTTGGCAGACAGCAGTGTTTTCATTTTCAAGTTAAGTGCAATGTTTAGTACGAGCTAGCAACCTGTGCAATAATGTGGTACTGCAAGCTGCACCCTGGGGTTTACACTGAGTATTCAGACACGCAGCTTCCATAGACTTGGAGGATTTTGGGGGTATCCGTAATCTTTGTTACCTGCTTCATTTCTCCATTTCATAACTTATTTTATGTGGGTCTCTCTGTATTGCTGAAGGTGAACTGAGAACTCTACTATTACTAAACAGGATAAAATTACTAAAATGCTGTACAAAGTGTGGATGGGGATGGTGCTTTGTCTGAATGAAGACAAATAAACTTGATTGTATGGGAAGAATCTTGTCTTTGTTATCCAGCTCAGTACCATTTGGCACTGTTCTGCAGTGCTATAGTTAATAACTTCCTGCAATTTTGTGTTCTCTCTCTGCTTTACGTCCCGCTCCTCTACAGACTGTGTGAACGATGAGTACTGGTTTGGAAGAGACAAAAGCTGTGATTATAGCTTTTCTAAGCTGGGATTGTCTGACACTGGCTTCTACCAAAACTACAGCAAGAAGCATTTCCGAATTTTCCGGGTAGGTGCAGAATAGATCAACAGTTGGGTTTTTTTCCTGTCTTGGCATAATTGAAAAAGACTGACTTTGGTGGGGGCAGATCCTGAAGAAATCACAGTTTTAGTACCTTCGGTGTTGACTCCTTTAACGAGACTCTTGGCAACGCTCCATTAACCTGGTTTATGAAATAACCTCATTAGCGTAATTTCCTGAGCCTATATTGAATTTCTGTAGACTCTCGTGTCTTCACAGCAAAGTCATTTTCTTCCTGCTGTTATCTTAACATCTTTTTATTTTTTTTCTCTTTGAGGAAATGGGTCCTAAAAATTCCTACGTTGCCTACATTGAAGACCACAGCGCAAATGGGACTTTTGTTAATCGAGAGCTGGTTGGCAAAGGGAAGAGGCTTCCGCTGACTCACAACTCTGAAATTGCACTGTCTGTACAGACTAATAAAGGTAAAATGCATTATAACATGAGTGGGTTCATCATGTGTTGACCAAGACGTCGTTTCTGCAGTGATCTGAATGTGTTTCTTGCAAGCTGAGCTTCACGAGTGCTGCTAAAGCTACAAATTGATGTTTTTGTACTCACATAAAAGTTATCTGTATCCACCTCAACACTAGAAAATAACGAAAAAAGAAAATTTAAAAGAAGCTGCATCAGGAACCACCTTTGTTTTCCTATTTTGAAACGCATTTGTGCTTCAGTAGTTGTGTATGTGGTGGTTGCAGGAGGGGAAACGGGGTATTGAGGGGGAGTTGGAAAAAAACCAGGTATTTACCAGCTGCTGCTTAATAATTAAAAGCCCCTCTATGAATTAGCAGAGCTGGGGGGTTGTTTGCTTGTCTTTGCTTTTCCTCGAAGATGCTGTATTCCTGATTGTCACTTGTCCTTGTTCCCAGCTGTGACACTGGAATTCTTGCCTATTTAGTCCTTAAATGTAGTGTTAACTGGTTAAGCGCTGTTGTGAAGCTGAAAGCAAAGATGTCAGTTTTCAGTAATAAATCAACCCATAGCTGATGTCATTTATAGCATCAGTTAACTTGTAGGTGTACTGATGTTTTTCTTAGTTATGTTGTTGGCTATAAAAGCTCAGGAAGCTCAGTTGTGTGTGATACCAAAGTTCCTCAGTTAATAACAGGACAATTCTCTCTGCTCATCTTCCCAGTGTTTGTATTTTCTGATCTGACGGTGGATGATCAGTTGGCGTTTCCCAGAGAATTCAGAGAGAAATACATCATGTCAAAGACTTTGGGAAGGTAAGCGTCCCTCTTTCCAGAGATACTTTGTGGGATTTATTAAGACCGGAGTATTGAGAATGCAACTGCATGTGGTCTTTGAGAAGAGACTTCTTCTCAGTGAGGGTGACAGAGCCCTGGCCCAGGCTGCCCAGAGAGGTTGTGGAGTCTCCTTCTCTGCAGACATTCAAAACCCGCCTGGACGCCTTCCTGTGTAACCTCATCTGGGTGTTCCTGCTCCGGCAGGGGGATTGGACTGGATGAGCTTTGGAGGTCCCTTCCAATCCCTAACGGTCTGGGATTCTGTCATTCTTTGTACTTGTGCGATTAGAAAGAGAAGATGCTTGAAGACAATAAATGATGCGAGTACTGAATTGATTGCTCAGCAGTTCAAATGACATGTTTTTTTGCTTTCTTGTTAACTATGTTTCTATTCTATCTATGTGCAAGAACGTTTGTGTGTGTTTACAGTTGTTAAAAGGAGGAAACTGGGATTTGAACACTTTGGAGAAGTTTATTTTCAGAAGAATACTCAGAAAAACCAATGTTAATGCTGGGCAGCTTGCAGTTACTTTGAAGTTATCTTAAAACACTTTTTGTTTAAAATGACACTGGTTGTAGGAATTGTTTGCTTTGGAGTACAGAATTTCTGAAACTAAGTTTTCTAATACAGCGGTCTATAAAATTTTGTTTTGATTCTGGAAGTCTGGGATGGAGGCAGAAGGAATTATTTCATAAAAGGCCAAGGAGCCGTAGTGACAAAAAAATGTCATAAATCATTCCTGTATTTGTTCCCCAATTACATTGCTGTGTTCTTTCAAATTTACGCCAACAAAGCAAAAGCCTTCTCGTTGGATCACAGCTCTCTGCTCAGGTTTCAGCTGTTCAACAATGAAAAGTTTCCTGTTTTCTTCTGTTTTTGAAAAACAACGTTAACACCTGAGTAAACCTGTTCTTTACAACAGCTTAAATGGGAATTTAGGCTTTATTCCTCTAATTGGCTTGGGTTTTGTAACTTACTGTTGACTGTGAAACCCAGGGGTTTGGTTTTTCCCCTCTGGAAGAGGCTGAAGTCTGTAGATTCTTCACAAGTTTCTAAATTTTGTATATTAACTTGCTCAATTATTGGAAGTGGAAGGAAGAGCTTTGTGTCAGATGCTAGCATTCTACAACATCATCGCTGAGGCCTTCAGAGAGAAGGGGAAAGAGCTGTTTTCAGGGAAAAGGAGAGAGGCTATTTTAGGAGGAGACTATTTGTTTATCGTGGTCAGCGAAGAATTTGGAGGAGAGTGGTTAAGTGGAAACAGTTTAAATAGACTTCCTACCTACCGAATGCTTTCTGAGGAAGCTTTGACAACACGCCATATTCTGAAAGCTTGAAAGGAGCAGCTTCAAAGTGTGTGCAATCTAATGCTTTCATTTCATTGGTCTGTACTCGTTAGGCAGATTTTGGAAAAGCATTTGTAAGCATTGACATAGCTGTGCTTTTGTGCTAGTGGTGCCTGCGGAGAAGTCAAACTGGCCTTTGAGAAGAGCACTTGTAACAAAGTTGCGGTGAAGATAATCAATAAACGGAGGTTTATAGCAAGTGGCATTGGAGAGGCTGTGAGTATTTTTGTTTATTTGTCTGTGTTTTGGCCACTTTGCTGTGGTCCTGGACTATTCGGTAACTTCTGTGACTCCGCAGCTCTCCTCAACTAAAGAGGATTTTCTCCCTTAATGGCTTCTGTATGTAATTTCAAAATGCCTTTTGATCTCACAGGATCTATAGAATTCTGTGGGAAACGCTTGCTTTTATTCTTTGACCACATTTCATTAAGTTAATAATTTAAGACTGTGTGTTAACGTGCTGTATACAAAGGGTGCTGAGGAGTCTGGTGGGGTTTATCTGCTAAAATGCACCAGATGGGCACATCATCAGTGGAGTCTGACCCTTTAGTAGCATTGAATTTTAGGGTTAGCCCATATGGGAACCATCTTGGAGGGAGGAGAGCTGTTTAAAGGACAATATTGATACATGTGCTCACTGAGATTATTTTTTTCTTAGTTTGGAAATTAGATGGAGATCTCTAACCTGCAGTGAAATGACGTGTCAGGAGCAGTATCTTGCTGCAGACAGTGAGAGCAGACTTTGTTTAATTCACTGAAGGCACCTGATCAGGTTATGGAGAAATATTATATATGTATTTATATATATAAATTAGCAAAGGACATGAAATGATGGCTTCCCTGGTACTGTCTCATCTTTCTGATGTGTCTGATTCCAGAACAGCACTGTCTTACCCAATGTGATATCTGATTGTTTTAACAGAACCCAACTTTTAATGTCAATACAGAAATTGAAATTTTGAAGAAAATAGATCACGTGAGTGTTACTGTACCTTTTTTATTTCCTTTTTTCCTGCCTACTGTACTCGTGTAGTTCACTGACCTTAGTGTAGTAACTAAAGATCTATATTATCTGCTTAAAAAACATGTTAAAGGCTGTATATATATATAAAAATAAGTCTACTGAACACTTTTTTTCTCCATTTACATATACTATGTCTTTACAGACTTGAGTATAATAACCAAGATGTACATTTTAGAAGAAACTTCACAGGAGAAGTTTCAACCTGACCCACTGTTGTAGAAATATTCCCTCGATTTAGTAAACACTGCAGATAAACAAATGTAAAGATTAGATTCCACTGGCAGTTTTTTCAATATGCATCCCCTCTTTCCCCTGCATTGCCCCCACCCTGCAAAAGGCATTTCTTTTACTTTTGCTAAGTAGAAAGTTTGCACAGTTTAATGAGTTCAACCGACATGGTTGAAATCTCACTGAAATAAGAACTTTAGGACGATAAACTGTTGATAATGTTGGCTGTTACAAGTGACTCTACTTTTCTGTGTGTGGCCTTTTTTATTAGCCTTGCTTAATCAAGATCAAAAACTTCTTTGAAGCTGAGGATTACTACATTGTTTTGGAACTGTGAGTAACTTGTTTGAAAGTAAATGCATAAAGTGAAACATTTGTCATAGCCACAAAGAACGTGTACGGCTCTGAACTTAGGGCTTTATTTTTCTCCTTTTGCTGGCCTCTGCTGTTCTCTGAAACCTCTGTAAAAAGAGGAACAAGGATAACCAGGAGAGTACTTATTCTGTGAAGTACTTCTGTGCTGTGAAGACACTTAGTGCCTGGATTGCTGCTACTTCTTTTGGTTTTGAGCTCATAAGAGGAGGCTGATAAAAATCTTGTAACAACTCCCAGTGAGGACTGGGGAGATCCGGCCTAATTCAGCTGCATGTATCCTGTGTTTAGGACGCTGCTCACCCATTTTCAGAAATATATTCCTTCTCTGTAGCCAAAATAACCAAGTGTTTTTGTCTCAGTCTTCTTTAATGAGCTGAATCTCTTGGAAGTAATATATTGACTTGTAACCTGCGTTTGTTTTAGGATGGAAGGAGGAGAATTGTACGACAGAGTGTCAAGGCCAATCAAGATGAAAGAAGCTACCTGCAAGTTGTATTTTTATCAGATGCTGCTGGCTGTAAAGGTACATAATTGTGAATTCAACAAATAAAAATATGGCTATGCATATGAATGTTGGTGAGCTTAATTCTTCTGTCACTTGTCGCTTCTGAAACCTGTGCAAGCAATCAGCACAGCGCTCTTAACAAGTTGCTTTAACAAAATTCTTCATCTTGGTGGAGCCAAACAGCATTCAAACTCTTACTTATTAAAAGCAGGGGCTAAAGTAATAACGCAGGCTGTGCTCATTGATGGCAGGGTTATCATGTGGGAGTTTTAGTAGTGTCTGGGCAGAGATCGGTGTAGTAGCCTTCAGAAAAATCGATGATCAGACACTAATGCACTCCTGATTTAAGCATTTCTGTTCAGAGTAGGCAACAGATTAAGACTACTTTAATAGATCTTATAACTGAATATTGAGTCCTTAGATAAATTTCTTCTAAATTCATGAAATGATAAGTGTATTTCATTAGTAACTTCTGCAAGATTGTTTTCTACATCAAACTTAATTGTCTCGACAGTTAAACAACTTAATAGTTGTTCTGTAGTAGGTACTAATAAATAATAAAACTAGAATTATTTTCCTCACTAGTGAGTAAACTATTGTATTTTTCCCTAATTCTCATTTTTGGGACAGCTGCTCATATAATAAAAGTGGTGTCACTACCTTCTACTTCATAGTGTTACTATGTCTTCAGATAGAATGAAGAAAAGCTCCCCTTCAGTGTAAGTGTGAAGACATCTCTAGGAGGTATTTTGGGCTGCTAGTTAAAATCAAGGTTGCTCCTAGTTTTAACACAGACTTCATTGCATCTCAATGTACCAGTCCTTTATGGCTGAGCTGTGATTCTTGCTTGCTGCCAAGCGTTCTCCTCATGAAGCTATGAGGCTGTTCTCAGATTTGGAGCCAGGAGCAAACTGGACAGCAGACTTGCATGTAGGCTTCAGAAGTACAAAGAAGGGAACAGTTCTATGCTTGCCTTGAGGAAGTAAAAATCCTCTGTATATTTAACGTGACATGGATCTCTTATCTCCTCCTCTCTCTGTTTTCCTTGCTATATCACCAGGTTTTTGAACCCTTTTTTTCAGTCTCCAGCTCTTTTGACAGCTGAGGTGTTTTTTAACAGATTTAACTGTCCACTGTTACTCACCAATGTCAGGACCGTTGTGGCACGGTGAACTTTTCAAACTGAAACATGGACTTGTATTTAAGAGAGTATGATCATACAATAACAATGATTAAGAGAAAGGAGAGAGAAGGAAAGCCAGAATTCCTACGAATGCATCGTAGGACTTTGGTTTTTCTTAGTTCTGTTGCTTTTACTGCATAAAGCCCCCGTATTTTTAATATAGCTTTCCAGTGCATGGGAAGAATGCAACACCTTGCCAGGTCTGCATACTCAATGCTTGCACTGAGATTTGACGTTTGAACCTTAAAAATCTCCAAGGGGTGGGGTTTTTTGTTTGTTTGTGTGGTTTGGTTTGTTTTTTTTTTTTTAAAGAAGAGTCATAAGCCGTGTAGCTTTAAATGCACGCATGCTTCTCATACAACCATTTTGGTCATCCTGCCATTGCTACATGAAAAATTGGAAAGGTTACATTTAAAGCAAGTTAATAGTCTGTTTTTCTGTGATTGTGTATCTGTGTGTATCTAGTATCTTCATGACAATGGAATTATACACCGAGATCTAAAGCCAGAGAATGTGCTACTTTCATCTTCTGAAGAGACGTGCCTTATAAAGGTAAGGGAACTTACATTTCTTCTTGTTCAGATAGAAATTTGGGAGCGTTCCTTCCCATTCTCCTCAATATTTAGTTAAACATAGCAAAAAAAAAAAGGTAATTAGTCATACAAACTATGAAGTAACTTAAAACACTGAGGTTTTTTTCGTAAGTTCAGCTTTACTCCTATTGTCTAAGAACAACTGAGAAACCTTGTGCTTCTGTAGCACTCGATTGAGTCCACAACTTCAAATGTCGCTACTTTTTTTTTTTTTTAATAAAATCTAAATTCTTGAATTTCAAACAGCATTTCCACAAATATCCAGGCAGCATGGTGACAGTTTGTTTTGTTGACATTTCAGAGGTTTGTTTTCTGTGGGTGGTAAGGTTGGCTTTTTTGTGGGTGTGTTTTGGGGTGGGGGGGGTTGGTTGTTTTTCCCAAATAAAGCACTGAATAGATTTGCATGCCAGACTGCTTATTTTTCAAGTAATATCTTCTGATAAGCTACAGTTCCTTTATTTATTCTGTGGTTGTCCATTCAAATCCAAATCTGGGAGTACTTTTTGCTATTGTGAAGTGGGATCCTCTGTCATTTCTCCCTCCTCTCCTGTTCTCAGCTTCTGCTTCCTGACTGCTTCATAAAGTTTGGGGTAAATTTTGTTCATAGTCGTGGAACTGACTTGGAAAGAAGAAACAATGTTACCTCCTGATGTATATTGACGATATGCTATGTTCTGGTACAATCAATCCTAATATGTAATGTGGTGTTACCATTTTTAAATACGAGATTACAGATTTTGGACAATCCAAGATTCTTGGAGAAACTTCTCTTATGAAAACATTATGTGGTACTCCCACGTATCTTGCTCCTGAGGTTCTAAATTCACTTGGGACTGCTGGATACAGCCGAGCTGTGGACTGCTGGAGTTTAGGAGTTATTCTTTTTGTATGGTAAGATCTTGTGTAGATGCTGTCTTCATTGGGCAGTCATTGCATACGTGGCTTGAGACTTGGCAACTTCAGCATCTTTATTAGGAAGTGAAAGTGTGTTTAAAAATACGTACGTGTAAAAGATGCTATGACAGCCGATGCTTTAGAATGCTTTATTTTAGTGTTCCACTTGCTACGACAAAATCTGTGTTGTTCAACTTGTTTTCTTCTTTTCTATAGCTTGTGTGGATACCCACCGTTTAATGAGCAAAATACCCAGCTGTCTCTGAAAGATCAAATCACTCGTGGGGAATACACGTTCATTTCAAAAGAGTGGAAGCATGTATCAGACGTGGGTATGGCTCCATTGCCACGGGCAGCAGAGTATCTAGCTCTTTTCCTGTAGTTTTTGTGCTCCTTTCACTTTCAGCTGTATGGCACATTGCACATTGATACGTTTAGTTTTTAAAGTAGTCTCTTAAATATATATATATTTACATATACATATGTACATACATATATATTTAATTCAAAGTTGAAGCATTAGAAAGAGCAGGTACCTTTTCATTGAAGAGATTTCTTAGTAATATTCAGCTTTATTAACTACAGAAGTATAGAGTTTGTGGGGACACACATCCGTTTTTCATCTTTTCGCTTTTTCTTCTGACTTCACCAAGCCGGTCTGCAAACTTTTGCCTTGCTCAAAGATTCTTCAAGTGTTGAACCAAAAATGCCAGGGATTTGAGGGATATGAGTGAGAATTCCAAGAGAGAAATTTTAAAAGTAATTTCATGCTGCTACTCCTTGAGCTTAAAATATCAGCCATGCTTGTGGAGTCAACTAGTAAGTCTGGCCCACTCTAAGCTAAGCAGTCTGCCAAATTAATTAAGTTTTTGTATGGCAAACCAAAATGATAGTTACTGTCTGCGTGCTTTTCTTCGTCAGGACACTTTATATGCACAAAAGAATTGTAGCATTTGCCTTGGATACTCCTTTGTATGTGCAGAGGAGTTTCTAGTAATGTGATAACTCTTTTTCTGCTGCCCAGACAGTATTTTTGGGCGTTGTTCTGAGGTGTTACAAGACACGTTGTTGCAGATATCTTTGGCATATGCATATTGCAGAAGTTATTTTCAGGTAAAGAATTCCTTAATTATGTATCAACCAACTCTTTTCATTATCTTAGCTCTGGATCTTGTGAAAAAGCTGTTGGTAGTGGATCCAAGCAAGCGTCTTACAACAGAGGAAGCCTTAGAGCATCCTTGGCTTCAGGTAGGAATTGAGTTTTACCTGAAGTGCAGCAGAGCTGGGTTGTTGTGGGGATAAGTTCTGGATGTGAGTTCAAAGGCAGCTCAAAACCCCGAGCGTTAGGTTTTGTTGGTACAGTGTAATTCGCTTCTGCACTGACTGCGCTGGTCACCAGAGATGCAATGTGTGCCTGCTTCTGCTTCTGCGGAGAACACCTTAAAAGGAGTAAAATAATGGGCAATGAGAGCTTCATGGGAGCAGTGATGTGTAGGAAAAGGAGCCATCAGATCAAAACCTCCTTTTCTCCTTCATTCATTCACTCTTTAATTGCTGGTCCATTTCATTAGCCAAAATGTAGGCTTTTCCCTTAAATATTCCATATAGTACTTAAGAGTTACTGCTTTTTTCCACAGGATGAGGATATGAAAAGTACATTTCAACAGCTGCTTGGTCGGACACATGCCAGTATGAACCCACCGCAGACATCAAAAATGGTACACGTAACCGATTATTTGAAGATTAATACTTGATGCATGGACAAAGTAGGTTGCGAAGTAATCCATCATAAGAAAATCAATTAATTTTGAGAACTTAGAGAAACGTGTGTTTTGACCGTATGTAGCAGTCTGCTGATTGTCTCTGCTGTCGGAATAGAAGCAATGCACTTTTGTGCTTTGGCAAGATACTTTGTTTAAATGTATAGAAGCGGTCTCGTGGGCTTTAAAGGATTATCCACATATTAAAAATTCAACTGTTGAACATGCATGTTTTGATAGATTCAAGTAATGAACGTTTAGTATCCGAGGAAAAATTCCCATGTCAGTGAAAGTTTATAAACGGTATTGTGACATGGATTACCTAATGCTAATTTAGGGAATTTTAAACGGTTGTGGAAGATAAAGCTGGGGGCAGACCTTATATGAGAAAGAACAAATATAATTACGATAGAGCTACAGAAACACAGGTTAGTCATGCTGCTTTTTTGGCCATGGAAAGGAGACTTTATCCAACATCTGCAATTCTGTAGCAAGCAAAACAGGCTGTGTCTTACCTGATTCCATGTAGTCAGCTGGCTGTGTCTTTCTTTTAGCCAACCACAAGAAAGCGTCTCCATGAAAATGAGGAAGAATCTGCCTCTTCTAAGCATGCTGTGCCTTCCACGTCATTCCAGAAAATGAGATGAGAACAGAGCGAGTGGCTTTTGTTAATTACAGCTTTTTTATGGAAAGCAACATTTTTATTTAAGAAAAACCTTAATAATGGAATAACTGTTGAAGATGCAATTGCTAAATAAAATTAACTTTGTAAGGCTGAAGCAGCTGCTGTGTGCATGTGAGAATCTACACAAATAGTCACGATCCCCTTCATCCCGCTGTCTGACTCGAGGAGATACAGTATCAGAAAAATAAATGAACTTAAGTTTCTAAAGATTTTCAGACTGGGCTTCACCACCACCTACACGCTTTTGTTTCTTCTGTTCCAGTTTCTAGGTTAGGCATGGAAATACTGCTTGGTCCTCATCGATGGAAAAGGAATATTAAGTTTGCCTGAGACATAGTATTACCTGCCACAAAATGCTGCCCACAACCTTCTGAGGACACCCAGAATACTCAGTTCTGATATAAAACTACGCATGGAGCTTGAGGTGCTGGACTTCAGATAAAGCTAAATACTATGACTTTTGTGAATGTCTAAGAGGGTGCAATTTAGTAACTTTATTCTATCTTTGTTCATCTTCCGGTGAAAGGCGTTTATTGCCAAGTGATTGGGAAAGAATAAGGCCTAATGCGTTATGCAATAAACCCATGTCAAGCAGGAATTAAGTCATTCATGAGACAGGTTTTCCCATATGTGCCTATTGCAGAGATCGTGTGTGTTTTGAGGTTAATGATAAAATGGCAATTCTTGTACATTCATATTTTCTTGGTGAACTGGGTGAAGGAACTTCCATGGGTGTCTGGATAAAAGAAATACCACTGGTTCAAATCCACTCCAGACACACAGGGGTGATTAAAACAGAAGAAACACGTTTGTCCTCTAATGATGTTCCCTTTCTGGTGCACGTGTGACCAGAAGAGTTCTGATACCTTGGGCTAGGGCTGTGATCTGGTCCTTTGGGATTTGGTAACAGGTGATTTTAAAAAGACCTGCATCATCACAGATGAGAGGATAATTCACTGGCTATTACTTACACTGCAAATTAAATGTAATTGGTCTTTAGATAGAAACAGAAAACTTCTGTAATTTATTCCTCTGTCTTTTTACATCCTACTATTGTTCAGATTTAACTGCTTTGCTTGGATGCTTTCCCTGGGTCCTAAGGCCTGCTTTCTAATGAAATCTTAATTTTTATGTCACTCATTTGAAGTGGAACCTCTGAGCTGATGGCCCAGTGCTCATCACTTTATTGCAGAAAGCTTTCTTAAGTTTCAGACTCCTACATGATTTCCATTAAAGAGTAAGTTTGGGAGGTGTTACTAAATTCCACGAAGGTAAAGTGGCATCCAATTTCGCTTAGACAAGAAGTTACTTCTTTACTCCATTCTGTTTGCAGCATGAGAACCTTCAGCCTCATCTGTTTGCCTACAGCATTTGGAAGGCTCCAGCGGTTCCCCGGTGGTCCCGGCACGATGGGGAGGCCAAGGCCGGCCCCGAGCGGTGCCGCTGCCCGAAAGCTGCGGAGGTGGATGTGGACCCCGCTT